AACAAGTTCAAAAGTATAAAGAGAATGCAATTTCACTCATTTCCTGTTTTTTAATAGCGTTTCATTTACGCGTATATCAAGTTATTAATGTCAACTTGATCGCTATGATTTCCATTACTTCAATTTGTAATAACTAGATGCTGCTCAAAAATACATAAATTTTGTTGGTATTACAATGCAATGCCACGTTTTCTTACCTATTTTCTGCTAATTCTGTGCATAAATAATTGATGAACCTATCATAATAACATCCGGACTATTTGAAGCCTAAAGTAATATAAGTTAAAACAAAAACTGTTCGTGTCATTCTCGTTCTTAGAATATAAAATATTAATTAGTTACCATTATCGATCAATGTAAATTAAGCACAGATATTTATTAATGCAAATATTGATTACTTTTGCCTTAAAAAATTGAAAATGCTTCAGGTATCATAATATTCAAGTCTTAATAAAATCTCTCCAATATCATATTAGTGTGCTCATATTGATGAAGTAAAAGTACCACTTATCCTATGATGTCGAATTTTCTGGGAATTACTTATATGAGACGGTAGTTAAGCAGAGATTACTTCCAGATAATTATCATGTACATTGCAATAACGCATTCAATCAATGTAGCAATTACGGTACTAGCAGAAAATTAGACGAAAAACATCAATTTCTACAACTATGTGGTTAAATATTCCAGCTATGCAGCTAGAGATGACAATAATGAAGACATATGATTATTGCATGACAATAATTCTGCAGAAAAACACCAGTTTCATCAGAAGTACTTTGGCAATGATGACAGCTATGAAGAAATATTATTACCGTATGATAAACATGCAAATTATTATGAGTTTCTTTAAAATTCATGTTGTAATTAACTATAGTTAGCTCATCTAGCAATAATTATTTTAAGCAGGTTGCTCAGAAACATGATATCGAGCACTATTTCACATTTTAATTCATAAAATATGTGAAATTTAACCAATATATCTACAACAAAGCCTACGAGATATACTTTAAATTTAATATCGATTATAGTCTCATGCATGATCTATTTACTTGTAGAATAAAATAAATCGTAGCTATCTATTTCTATAGGGGACGATAACTACAAAACAAAACACAGGATATGAAATAGCTTAATTATTGGCTGATAGCTCGGATTTTATAACTCAAACCGTAATATCATATATCATTTGGGCTATAGAGCAACTGATAGGCCAGCAATAAATTTAAAATTGAGATAAATCTGTAAAAATCTCAATTCTGATATTATAATGTTATACGAAATGATCTTTAATTGCTAATGGAGTTGCATTTGATGACAACTAAGAGTGAATGTAGTCTAGATTTCACCAAGGGCTATTAGAATTTTGGTAGCAGTCTCTGGTTCTACTAATAAGCTAGCTATAAACGATACCACTACTATAAAAATAGACTGCACAGTCCACTTCCGAAGAATAAATATAATTATTTTATTATTACTCCTGCAGAGTAAAAAATGATTGAGTAGAAAATCAATCATAACATTCTCGCTAATAAGACCATTTTCTGATTTTTTATTATCAATCCTATGTTTATCTTATATCCATACATGCTACAATTCTGATTTGCTAGGCGGTATTATATAAATTAATACCAATGAAGGATAAGGAGTCGAATAATGAATGACCTATTTTTGATTGCTAGGTTGGAAATAGTGTACTCTGTAGCAATATGGTAAGTTTCTGGCGATCTGTTTTTATTAACGAATTGTTTGATTATAATTACGACTATATATAATAAATTAATAATGATCTAAATCTACCAGTACTTGTTAGCTATATCAGTAGAATGTCAATTACTAGATGAAATAATGATATCAATACCGCTCTTACAAGAATAGTTTTCTTATATGAACTGTCAATAGGGTCAAATAGTTGAAAATAAGCAGATCTTTATCGAATAAACAGTTTAGCATGATCATGTAAGCTTCCTCTCGTTATTATGACAGCGAGACAATCCTACTTTACTAGCAAATTTTGATTATCTCACTCTTTTTCTCATTCGGCTATTAATTAAGGTTGCAATTGATCGATACTGCTGTAGGCTAAACCAATATCTAGTACTAATTAAACTTTGAAGCAAGTTCTTTTACTTATTAGCAAGAAGTTCTTTTTATACCGATCAATAGTCGATAGTCAAAAGTAGGTCTACGTTAATAATATATTAATTGTTTTTCAATTTTGAGGTGTACTAGCAAGAAATCAATTAAAAGGATATAATTTCCCAATAGATACAAGAAATGTCCCAAATAAAGTCATAACTTCTACTATTTTAGTTTTGATAAAATCGGTCAAAATAGGAATTGTCTGTGGGATAAGTAGGCGACAATAGGGGATTTATGTATGATTTGAGCAAGGCTAATCTATATCATTGTCACAGAAAAGATAGAAAATTCACACCCAAGATGAGGAAGTCTAATCTTCAAGGTCTTTTATGATCATGTCAGTATGGTTAATCATATTTCGAAAATGATTTAACCTAAATGCGTATTGTTATCTGATTAGGAAAATGGGCTATTCGACAGACATGGCAAGCACTATGACAGCTAATGGAATAAATAATGGCGATCGAAAAAGAGGCAAAGACGTAAGATCGAAATAGCGTAGGAGGGAAATAATTTTGAAAATTATTCATACCATGCATTTTTTTTGCATGACAGTTAGAATTATTATGTCTCGTCGATATTGAAAGTGTTATAATCCTGTTAAGAAATGATGGTATTGACGCAACTTTTTGTTTATTCTCGAAACTGTCTAGTATCCTCAGCCATGATTACATATATAGGATTATTTATTTTTTTTCTCTCTCTCTCCATCCTATTATTTTTAATTTCAATTTAATTGTATATATACAAAAATATATTATTCATGTTTGTTCTCGTAGCAACGATGATTCGTTTATTATTGTTTATCATGGGGTAATTTCAGTCTGCAAGGTTTTGCATTGTCTTCATGATTGCATTTTGCATATTCACCTTGCAACTATTTGCTAGTTATTATCATTTTATCCATGATTATGTACATACGTGTCCATTTGTGTACTATGCAGTTAATGGATGGAGATCGATCCAAAAACAAAACAGGAAAGTGGGAGACAGTTTGAGAGTTAATTAAATTGCGGCGTATAAATTCTACCATCTGATCACATTCGCCTTTTCTATTTTAATATCGACAATACCTAGGCTCGTATATTTATCAACGTTGTCTTTTTTTATTCTAATAAGGATAGTTTGAACGGAACTACTTGGCCCATTGCTATTTATATTAAAGCCTTTGATTATTGATTGACCTTGATTTTATATAATGTTGTCAATGGTATAGTGTGAAGTATTGCTTTCTTAGCTCTCCTCTTTATCATTTCAAGATCGAAAGGTATTGCTTCGATCAAGGTTAAATTAGCTTGGAATTGAAGTATTCTATGTTTTAAAAGCGATCTATTCAAGGATTTTGTAAAACTGAAACGAGTTGAATTATTAGATAGAATTGCTAGAATTAGGCTTAAATCTAGTAGGTACCCAGCCTGTCTATTTGTTAAGCCTTGTCTTATCTATTTCTCCTTATTTTTAAATCTTATTATCATACTAAATTTTAATACTATCTCATAATTTCTGGTTTTGTTGAAAGAATGATAAATTTCGACCTAGTTTAAATTACATGAAATTATCTCCACCATCATCAATCGCCTTTAGCATTTCTTATTAACAGCTTTATCAATTTATATTTATAGTTCTTAATTAATACTTGACTCATTCGAATTCACTTTTTTTATTACTCTCGACTTTGTCATTTTGAGCTATGCTCAATTTATGTTGAGAACAATTACAGATTTATACGGAGATATTCAAGTACGATTAAATTATTATTGTAAGTTGGTAATTATTGGACGATTTTATCTATCTATGCCACTGCCAGCAGTATTCGTCGTTTCTTAATCTGTGAATTTACCCAGTTTAATATTGCATTAACAAATTTAACCAATCTAAAAAAGGAAATTCTCTCTTTGATGTTATATTCAATTGTATCATTTTTTCAACTTGTTTGGATATTAGGCATTGAGAACCTTAAGCTACTATTACTAGGTTAATTTATTCTTCTTATTTAAAAAAATAATTATCAAGATTGAATATTTATCACTTTTCCCGTCGTTTATTGCAGTTTAGGTTCTATTACTTATATCAATGTATCGCAATTATCAGGTATGCTCATCATCAAAGTTATAAAGTGACAAAGGCAGGATAAAAATTAAGACTGAAAATAGTTTACTCCATGGTTTTTTAGAATAATTTTAAATCACCATTACCTGCTTGATTATTCTCAATATTCATATTTTATCATCATTTCATTGCAGTTTTAGTCCCATAGTACGCTATATATATACATATATAGGTATATATAAATACAGTTATCTATATATATATATATATGTTCATGTAAATTGTTACGTGGTAAGGATAGTTCACATCAAGATCAAAAAGTCATTTTATGCTCTGATCAGAAATACAAGTCGAAAAGAGTTTAGGTCAACTGCACTAAAAAAACAGCAACCATATTAAAAAAACATTTTTGGATCGAGATTAAGATCTGGACTGGATACTATCTTACAAACTGGTTGTTATTGGTCATAGCTGCAATTAATTAATTAAGTAAGATTAAACTCTATCTATTCTTCATTGCGTGGATCATTCAAGGTACTCCTATATTCAACCAAAATCAAAGCCAACATCGTTTTACGTCGATTACAGTATTACCCTTGAGGAGTTATTAAACAATTTATCTTGCCGAATCAAATCTGATGAACAACTTGCATGTCTAGATTGGCTATGACTATAAATCATTTTTCTAGCTGAAATTATCATCTATCGACTCTTTCACGTATCTTCATTTAGGTAATTTAAGAAAATTAATTGACTAATAACCAATTTTAGCTAATATCCTCCGACTTATTGAGTATTAATTGATAAAGATGATGAATAGTAGTGATAGCAGCTCAACGACTTTTCATTCACTTCTATGGATTCGATTTTCAACTTTTATTTTAATCGGTACCTTGGTCTTTGTTGGCAATACTATCATCTTGGCAGGTTTACGCCAATTTCATCGTACCATTAAAGTTGATATCTTAATTGCATCTCTATCCATTGCGGATATAGTAACTGTCACGTTGCTCTTACCTATAGCAATCTACTCTATGTTAGCATCTCAAGATGATGTCCCCTCATGGCTATGCCAATTTTCCGGCATTATCATGACTACAGTACTCTTAGTAAGTAGTTTTACAATCACATTTATGTCTGTTGATCGGATATTAGCGACTGGCTCACCATTACGTTATTTAGTGACAGTAAGTGTGACTGTCTTGAAACGATGCTTATATTTTGCATGGCTGGTAGCCATTGGATTAGCTTGCTTACCATTAACTGGTTGGGATCATTTTATCTCAGCAAGCAGCCTCTGTATTTATTCATTTAATGGTCAATTTGCTATTTTCTTCCTAATTTTGCACGCCATACAATTCTTAATTGTAACATATTGCTTTGTATCTATCCTACTTAAAATTGCCAATGTTAACCGACATTGCTGGCGACATTTCTGCTGTCAGTCAACATGGCGAAATCTTCTTCCTTATTATCGTCATCGTCGTCGTCGTCCAACTCATAGCAGTTGCATTAGTAGCAGCAGTAGCCATCGACAACATCATCATCATCGTCATCGACATATTTTTTCTTTACTACGCTATCGCTGTAATCCATTCACCTTGTGCTATCACCGACCAGCGATTTCATCCAATTGCTGTTGTTTGCCCATTTCCTTACGACAGCAATCATCGCAGCCATCATCATCCATAAGTCATCATAGCCAGCCTGATTCTGCTTCCATGACTAGTAATCATCAGCCGCCATTTCATCGAAATAGCGTTTGTATCAGTGATCGAAGGACAAATTCACTTTCTATTGGATCTACTCTGGAAGGAACCATTAATTTAATGACGATTGGCACGCGCCGAAGAATATTAACAGCTCGATTATCTAAAATGATTGGTGTTATAGTCTTGATTGCTTACATTAGCTGGATACCATTACTGGTAAGTTCAATCGTGCCATCACCTACTTTATTGCTAATTTCATTTATCTTTGCCCTATTTGAATATTTGAATATCTTAGAAGAGGAAAACAGCCATATTAAATTGTTCAATTTTTTTTTTCACGAATCTATTTTACCTACTTTACCAAATTAGCGAGATGGGGAAATAACAGATGAAAATAAATATAATTTAAATCCCTTCCCGAATATCAGAATCTGCTAGCCCATCCATTCATTCTGATATTGGAAACATGTCGAAAACATTATGTTAACCATAAATGACTAACTTGCAGTCCTCAATCATAAAGTATGAATTAAATATTCTATTTAGATAGATCAGTCATTATATTATCATTTACGTCTCGAGAAATGGAAATCATTGAAATTGACTAGATGAAGATGCTCTTTAAAACATAGTTATTAACTTGCTGAAAGTCGCAGTATTAGGATAAACTATTACGATGGAAGGAATCCATTGCAAATGATCATTGAAATATATTAAGGGTGTGTACAAATATTGGCGTTTATTTTAAATTGGTCAGCGATACAATTGATAAAACGATGGGTTGTTCGTGATTTGAAATTCAACAATTTAAATCATGACCGTTGCTATTTTTAAAGATGAATTATTATTTATCATCCTTATTAAATGCCTACAGAAAATCGTAGGTCTTTCGAACTGATGAATTGGACATAATGATATGATAGAGTGGATCAATCCCATTCCCAAGATGCATTCTCTTCTATATTTCACTTTTAGAGACGATTTATTTTAAGAGTAAATCCATTCTCTATTATGCTTCACTGTTGGACAAGATCCATTCCATTCTAATAATCAATTCTCCTTAATTTTACTGTTAAGTCTTTATTGGTGAATAGATTGCATCTTGCCCGGTACCTTCTGTGATATATCTCTTGTAAATAACTAAGTAACTAAAATGAAATTATGAACAGAAATAGTGTTTGCCGATCGGTATATACAGTATATATTAGGTACTCCAGAAAGCTAAAATTGGAAAAGTTTACACTTAGGTGATAGTATAACTCGCTACAATAAGTGCTAAAAGTTGCCATTCTTAGACTAGGTACCTTCATGTTAGCCTTTTCAATGTTAGATCATAACCCAAAAAGCTATTGTCAATCTGATGATCAGAATTTAGCCATTGCTATCCTACTGAACGGCTATAAAATCATTTAATTTTTCATCCATTTTGAGCCTATGTGAGATTTCTGCTTACTATTTCCGTCGACACAACATCGATTATTCTAGTGCAATTATATCTATTAGAAGCTCTTTTTATTTCATAGTTTTCATCCATCATTACTACTCTCTGTATTGATAAAGCCTTCATGCCCAAGAGTAAAGAGTCCTGATAATGATTTGATTACGAATAAAAATTTTTTATTATTCTACGTTATCATTAGATTTTTTCCCCTCCGCCATTAGTTCAGTCTGTGCATGATGCTCGTATAAAATTTCTATGGTACAGTTTAAGAGGAATAATAATTTCTCAGAAATCGCTCTATTATCATGCTGATTTTGTTTGCTTTTAGTTGATTCCTTTTAAGTTATCGAAAGAAATTAACTCTTCAATAATTAGACTAGGTATAACAGCCAATATGGATGCTATTCTTGGGCAGATTTGATTGCACCCGATAGTGTTGATATAGCATTTTGATCAATTGTAGTATTGAACATGTGCTTCTTTAATCAATTTGTGTATTGGTACATTTCCAAATCTTGATTAATTCCTCAATCATGATTACCGTTTAATTAGTCAATTACTTAAATATCACCTTCATCGCAACTAAAAGTAAAATGAATTAACTACCGGTATTCGATTTCGATAGCGATTAGATACGATAATTTAACAGTATAATGCATAAGCACTAGTTTTAGGCTCGGGCTTTGTAAGTGGATTTGTTAAATCTATCTAAAAATAGTAAGGTCATCATTTAACTGGAATAGCTAGTTTAAAGTGATTCTCTATACAGAATAAAATTTCGGCTTGAGTTAATCTCTTATTTTTTTGATCCTTACAACTACGATTCAATATATAGAAAAAAACTTTTCAAAATTCCTTTACTCTATGAAAGGGCAAGAATTTTACCCATCTTTAGTAAAATAGTTTTTTATTTGAATGAATTGCAACATAGTTATCAGGTAGAATATTCAAGGAATAATAACACATTTTAATCGATTTTAACAACAATAACAAAAATATATCACATCATTCCATCATATTGAAGATGTTAATGACTGTCAGAGCTATTAAGCACCTAATCACCGGTAATTTAATGACACTTTATTATCGTATTCTCTCTACCACTGCGTCGGTTGATACCATCACCTATCGATTAGATGACAATTTTAATTTATGAACCTTTGATAGGACAATAACATTTTTATACATTGATCGGATCGATAAATTTTACGCCCATTTTATATCATTTCATATTCATTTAATTTAAAGGTTTTTGAATAGAAAGAGCATTAAGACATCAATGATGATCATCATAATAAAATTTTGCTCCTCCGCAGGCAACAAAATGGTTCTAAAAGGAAGAACAAAATCAAAATAAGATAAATTTTTCAAACTCAAGAGTTATTTTGATAGTTGAATAGCTATTGTCACGTTTTGATCAATTTAAAAGTATGGAAAGATAATAACATCATCATTATAGCTACAATGTAAAGAATTTTTATTATTCCTTAATAGACAACAACTGATCTATTCTGTGATTAAGGGCTACGAAAAATTACGTGATAAAGAATCTCACTAGTCGTTTAATATTATCAAGGACTTTGTCTAATTTTCGATTTTATTATCGTTTCTAGGTCTTATTATGATAATTATTATGAGGCCACAATATAGTTGCTTAGACACTATCTAACAATATCTGTTTTAGCTATCTATTTTACTGTTTTTCATCATCCCCTTAATTATTTATCCATATTAGTTGTCTCTTTCTAATATGATCTATACTATCTAGCTAATTCTTGAAATACTTCTCTATCCTTTCGACTGCCCATCTATTCATTTGTCTATCTATCAGTCCATCTGCTAATCTACTTATCTATCTGCTGTACAATATCTATTTATCGATCTATCCATCTATCTAACTATTAGTTTATCAGTCAATCAATCAATCAATCAATCATCGATCGATCAAGCCATCTATCTATCTATCTATTCATCCACTTATTTGTTTACCTCTATCAATTCTATCTATCCACTAGTTTATTGATCGTTCTATCGATCTATTCATTTATCTAATTATTAATCTGCTTAGTATTAATTCATTTATCTTTCATGGGTATACCTGTGCACAAGACACAATTGTTACAGCTTAAAGTGACATAAAATTTAGCATTCTCCTTCTAATATTAAATACTGCGTTCATGACATGAATATGTACATCAATAAATTACTAAATTTCTACAGTAATTATTTATTCATGGATCACTTCTTTTATCTATTTAATCATTTAAAATAATTAAAAATTCTTTTATGGCTCTAAATCTAGGTTATTACTATCCTCGGTCAGTTCAAAATTATGATTATGCAATGGCTAATTGAAGTATGCTGTGCAATCACGATGATCCATGCAGTTGTCAATCCATTTATTTACTGCTTTATGTGCCCACGTTACAAACGGGCGTTTATTTACGTTATTAAGAAACTGGCGTCTCATTTTGGCTATCCTAAACCGCCATCTCTCCATACCCAAGGTAATAAACAATCAATTAGACTATGATCAACACTCTACTAAATTTATTTTGTTTTCTAAAAGTAATATGGCGATCTCAAATGAGAGAAGATTAAGGAGGATCGACACTCCAAATTTAAAATACAATAGTTACTTTTTCTCGTCGTGCAAACTTAAATAGAATAGCAATCGCATAGTCCATTTCATTACTTTCTTTGTGGAGTAATGAAAGAAAATCCTTTCGGATGAGTACAGCTGCATCTGCTTAGAATAAACAATAATTCTACTGCTAATATTATAATGCTTATATTACGAGTATAGATAAATACATTGTTTCTCTGTCGAAGTCGTCGTATCTTAGTCACGAATATTTATGATTATTATTTCAATATCACATAGAATAGATCAAATTAGCTTTAATTTACAAGATTAATAAACAATAAATTACAGTATTGATTATCTTATCTTTTAATACGTCAAGTAGCTAAAGGAAGGGGTACATTTTAAGAAAAAGTTTTTCTTAAGCGGTAGCTAGTTCTGTTACGATGTATTCTAATTTTCAACAATTTTTAATCTACATTCTTAATATGCATGAAATATTGATAAATCTCACCCGATATTTTATTTAATTATTCCGTGGTCTTCTAGAAGGTGTAACTTCATTAAAGATTTGATTGTGATCTAGTATGTTAGCGCTTAAAAGTGTATTGTAGCTGTAGAATTTGTACCCCTATATACTTAATATTGATTTCTTTTATATGTACAATTGCAGTTTTATTGCGTCAATACTTTTCTGTTCTCCCTAGACTTTTACATGTGATACTAATTTCTGACTACTTTTTGGTGACTTCATTTTAAAATAATCTAACCTACAGATTTATTTTGATATTATTCCTTTGATAAGACATCTTTGTCTGTCTGTGTTTGAAAATTTGTTTATTATTTCTGCTAGTAGAGTTGCGATACATTTGATATTGAATCTGTCTCATCCATACGATCACAAGTTCAAGAGATGTGATTTTATGTTAATCATTATTTTTATTTAAATTCCCAGCAGTAAAAAATTACTTTTCGTCTAAATAAGTTTCAATACTTTCGATTTTAGTTAATTTGTCTCCTATATTATATTATAGATTTCCTTCAATTACTTTAAATAATAATTAATTTTTTTTTAATTTGTTAACTTTACAATAATATTATTTTAACAAAATTTACCTTTGTATCAATTTAGCATTAATTTTAACCTTGTCACCGAGAATAGTGCAATGGAAGCTTTCCTCAGTTGGGAAGTAATTCTTTGTCAGCTTAATTCTGTTTTTAATAAATGACTAATTGTTAACGTGGCTATTGTTTTTGCAATTTTAAAATTAAAATCTAAATACTAGCTGTAGGTAAATGTTATTGTAAACGAATTTAAAGTAACGTTCCATTTCAACATTATACAATAGATAAATAGCCAAAGGTGATTATGTCACCTTGCCTAAACATTTCGAGAGAATAGTTTTCCTTTCTATAATTATTTCTTATATTCTATCTGTGACCGAATTCTATAAATGTTGTATTATTATAGTTTTAAAATATTTTTACATTTTACAAATAACTTATATTAACTAATTTACTATTGAAAAGATTCAATAGTTTTTACCTTAAAGGTGGGAATCGATAAATAAGGTATTACATTACGGGGTAGTTAAATGATCAATTGATCATTTCACGTTAATGCTCATTTTTAACTCAAAAGTGTATAACATTAATTCTAAATCAGATGGTAAATTTTGTAGTGAAGCTATTAGATAATAAGTTATTGTTGTCAATATGTTATATAGAAATAAATTAGATATAACTTAAGATTATTACCAAATCTGGGACTGTTGACAGTAGTAGATAGATATTAGTAATTTTTATGATAGTTCAAGCATATTGATTTCAGCTTCGTAGAATGTAATACTAAATATAGAATTTCGATCTTATACTAAGTACTGTAAGTGATCTTGTTCGCAATCTTTGTATCGTAAACAAATTAAGCATCGTATTTATGCAACTATATTTTTCGGTTATTATTGTTTTTAGTTCTTCTTTTATAATGTCTTCTGTTGCAAGAAATTTTTTCCTTGTCTGTCAGAGCTTGTTGTACTATTACGTTGTATCTCAATCGTTAGAAAATCAGTAATAAAATCTGATATTATGAATTTTTACGTGATCTACACACCCAGTAGAGTCGATAGCACAGGTTTTATTACAATTTACATATAATTTGTCACTAAAGTAGCTATATATCTATGTCTAATTTTATGTGACCAGCATTTAAGATTCCTGGTTATTTTCACTAGGTTTGCCCGAGATATAATATTAAATTAAATTAATAAGATAAAAGAGATAGTAAGATCTGCGTAGATATTCGATTCTATCTTCAAGTTACAATTAAATCAATTTAATTAGTCCATTTGACTTTTACTGAATACCTCTTATCGGTAATACCCTAAATGAACAATATTTCAAATTATCTTTTTTCTGAAGAGTGTAAGGTGGACATTTCATCCATAAGATAATTGATTCTTGATTTTGTTTTTCATAAATTGAGAAACTTCTATTGCAAGCCGGTTGCAATCTCCTTAAAACATCATAAACTTTATTATATATTTGATATGCGCTTGTTTAAATGATATAATAGCCATCATAACGTTAGATAATTTCTTTTACCTCATTCTTCAATAGACATATTAAGAGGAGTTTGTGAGATTACTGTAAAAAAATATGACGACTTTTATAAACTAGCGTGGTTGTTTATCTATGTTATGCTAATTTTTAAAGCTAGTTGATAAACTCGATATTTAAATTAATAAAATTTGCTGGGGTTTTTCAAATTATAAGATAAAACTCTATTTATATGTGATATTTGTTAGTGAGTATAATCAACAAGATGGGCAGATATATTTAATTACGTTCACTGAAGTATATCAAGACTACATAATTAAAGCAGAACTTTACGAGCATTTAACTATACGTTAATAGTAGTAGCTATGGCTAGTAAGCGACATTGATAGTTGCATTATTGAACATTCACAAGAAATCTCAGTAAAAGTATGTTAGAATTAATATTATAGAATCTTACTTAGAAATTCGGTTTCATCTGTTATGAAAAATTTGCAATTAATCTCTTTAATTAACTTCTTTGATTTAATGCAATATTTTCCTGTCGATAAGACCATAAATGATCTGCATTTCGATTTTTTCATTTTAATTAATAATAATAATTTGGTTAATGAATTATCATACAGTTGATTTACACGTAATTAATTTTTATGAGGTTGATCAACTTCTACTGAGTATCTATTACAATTTGCTAAATATATTTTAAGATATTATTTTTAGTTTATTCATAAGATGGTATAGATATCAAATTTCTGACTAATTTTAACCTTTATTCCGTAAACAGATAAATTGAAAAGGGCTTCCAATATTACTGCGTTTGATGTCGCTCAACGACGTCGAGTTAGCGAACAACTGCGTGCAGATTCATTTTGGAGTGATTTTTCGTCATTCGATTATCGCAGTGCTGGTCGAATAAGATCAAGTGATGAAATCCATGCAATGGCGGAGACATCGGTTATAACTACATTTGATAGCCGAGCTGATATTCATCTTACTGTGCCACATCGAGAAAATTATCATCTACGTAAGATTCGCAGCAGTAGTACGATCGAGACAATAAAAGAAGAAGATAGTCATCGAGACAGTATCAACGATGTAAATATTACTCCTGATCCATCACCTATAGAACCAGCAGAAATTCTGGTTAAATGCGATGATGATGTTATTCATAATTTATCGGAATAAGAGTAGTGATGAAAATCGTTAAATTATTTATGTTTAGCTATTAAAGTAGATTAGAAAAATATCGTTGTGGTGTACTCTTACATCATCATTACTAATGTTAAAATAGTAATCAATTTTTGACTGTTACAGATATTATTCTGGTTAAAATTAAATCAAGATACACTTCGCATATATTATTAATTGCTTATTTGCGGTGATTAGCTTTTACATCTGATGTCCTAATTAAATGCCAGGTTGAGTTGTTCGGTGCTGTAATACATTAGCTATTATAGTATTTTCACTTTTTTTGTACGGATTCGTTCGTAACTATTGTTATATTTCAGACAAGCAATCATAATTATTGTAATATATCGAATCATGAGATGGTTGCTTATCAAACTGATAGCATAGATAAAAAATTAAAAGTTACATTGCATTGTGCAATACAAAATTAATCGTAATCCTGACATTTATGATTATCGTATTCAATAATTAAATAAAATTTAATTCAATTTTCTACGACATATCGCATTAGAAATATTAAGATAATGATAGTCATATGTAATAGTTAAATATGATATTGAACTTGTCTTCCTATCAAGAATAGAGAAAAACAACGCTGCAATTTTATGATGAAATAATCGGTTATAAAATTTATTAAAGTAGTATATCGTACTGCAATCGATAGGAACCTAAATATTTTAGTAAAGTTGCCAATATCTACTGGAAACTGTCAGTGTTAATGTAATTTCGGTTTTTGGATAAATCGATTTGAAGCACGCAATACAAATAATACATTTTTCATTAATTTTATGCGTTGTCGGTGAAATTATTTGTTACTATGTTATTTTGTTTAATTATACACTATTACCTGTACCTTTTCTGCACTTGCTATAAATTAAATTTAACCCAATACTACCATTAGAAGATTATTATAAAAAATAGCCAATAAGGTTGTAATTTATTTTATCACTCAACTGCGTCGCTGTTACATGTGGTTTCCATATAAACATATTTAAAATCTCAAATTGATGATTTCGGTGTTATACATATCATCTATTAAAGTATTTGCATTACTGTATATGATCAGGTATGAATGATCAATGAAAGAAGGCTTAGATAGTTTATCATTGCAACTAATAAAATTTATTTTAAATTCGGAATTTTGGGATTTTTTAAGTACTGTATTATTACAAATCGAAATTTGTAACGTGATAAGTTAAAACTATTATAGAAGTTGCACACTATGAGTCTACCATCAGGGATATCCTCCCTGATATTAACCTACAGTATGACTCAATAATGACGATCTCCTATCGTCAAGAGGAACAGTAACACAACACGAGTCTCTCTTAGACATGACTGAACCCAAACTTTATTGCAAAGTCAGTCAATTTATAGTAAATCGATACAAACGTTAATTATCATTTTATAGATAATACTATAAAACTATGCAGTTATCTATTAAAAATACGTATAACGTTATAGATGACGGTATGTAAATACATTCCTAGATAAATTATCTATGGAATCTATATTACTACAACTACGCAAAACTTACTCCGTAACATGTATTTAAATGCAGATCAACGATGTTCAGAATAAAGATAATATAATTATCAGGTAAGCAGTATTTGAATATAGTTTTACGCGGATACCTTTCTTATGAATACAACTGTAGCTAGTACACTCTGAAATTCTAAATTAAAGTAGTATAACCAGGACAATTATTCTATAACCGGTATTCGTACATAGTTAAGGATAGATATAGATTAGTTGTGTACGTACTCATGACTGAGCCTAATATTTACCAGTTAGTAGGCCAGGCAAGTATTTTCCGCAATATTATTATCAAAATATGAATAACAATCTTAAAGGATCAATTGGCCTGATTGTAATGGTATTTACGTAAATTAGCTAAAAATAAGCTATTATGAATATTAAGTACTGCACTGGGTAATCTTTTCCCTCTATTAATCAGGATTCGCGCAAAAATTGATATCAATTTTAACTGTTATTATTTATTTGGTTAAATGAAATATAATACAAGAATTAAACGTAATTTGCACAGTCTAAAAATAGCGAAGTGTCTTGTGACAGCTTTCTAGCAAATTAATTAGCCAAATCATTGGCTATTAATTACAATTCAGTAACCTTGCCGATCAGCTTGGATCAGTTGCGAATATCGCCTATTAATTAGTGAGAAAATGGCTTGATGAATGAGATTGGATCTTACATTTTATTGATCTAACTTCAATGGTCTAGTTTTGCTACTACCTGTATTAAATATCATACTATTTCGTAAAATTTTGATAGCCATTGTAGTTTATTGAACTTTCTATTTTACCAATTATCTGATCATTTTTATTTTGGGATAAGACTATTAATAACGTTATGAACTACCGTACAATTTGACTATTGAGTGATATAATATTATCGGATAATAGCATACCAAAGACTATTACAGTACATGCTTAATTAAAATGCTTTAGTTAAAAATACACTGATGCGTGGATTAAACGATTATTGAAATCTGATTTCTAAATTACAAAAGTGAATTTATATGATGTTATGTAAAATGGATTTCGTTATCGATTTGCTTAATAGTTATTCAATATTTATGGAAAAAAGGTAAAACATTAAAAGTAATAAAAGGTAATATTACAATGACTAGATTAAACGTCAGAATATTGAGCTGCACGACCTCTAGCTAAATTCCTTTCAATGGCCATAGAAATTATGTTATTACCTAAATAAAAATCTGACACAATCACGTTGATATTTTTATGTATCCAATCATCATCCATCCATCGGCTTAGATTAGGATTAATGATATTAGCTAAGTCCTGGATATTACGTGATACTTTACTTTCTTCTGTAAGCTTAAAGATTCCTTGTAGTAGCCAAATTCCATGATGGCGTTGATTAATTTCTTGATCTAAATTCTTCTTCACGTCATCTAATGTTTCAACACTATCCCATTCAGTTTGAATAGTTGGCCAAAGTCTATTTTCATTCCGGTAATTTTCTGATTGTAGTTTACCATCATAAGCGACAATTACACGCTTATTTTCTTCCCATAATTTACCTACAGTAACGTCTTGAGAATATGAAACTAAAGCCATATCATCACCCAGATGTTTAATGATTAACTCAATCAATTCATCATGTGCACTAGGATGATTAAAGTAGTAAAACTGGTTAAAGTCTAACATAACAATTTCTTGATTATTGGTTATAAAGTTCTTGATTAAATTTAAAAAGTGCGATACGCTTACTTCAGTTGACCATTCATGGTGTGTAAACCAAAATTTATCCTCATATTTACCATAATACTCAACATGCAAATCAAAATATCGAATTCCATCGAAAAGTTGTTGCTCAAATGTCTCCGATTGTGATTGGGTTAAAGCATCTGCCAATGGTACTGTCATATTATAACAAGCTGAGTTGTGAGTTCCTGGTATAGTTAAATCTTTAATTCGTACGTTACCAATGGAATCTTTCAAATCGGTCATCCAATTGCTGCGTGTATAGTATTTTGTGACTTCTTTAATTACGAATTTCTTTTCAGTAAAATCGTAGATCATGTATCCTACGTAATAATCTCGACTACGATCAAAATTGACTGTAGTACTATAGCAGCCATTATGGTGATTACTTACCCAGCACCATTGATTAGCAATAAAGTCATCAGCATCTTCAGGATAATGATCGAATATTGCAACATAATCCCACATGCTGACTTTATCTGGATGAAACCAATTCAAGTCGAATGTTAAATTTAAATCGAGGCCAGAATCTAAAGTGAATTGGCCAGATGCAGTCAAAAATGGATCGTGAGGTTGATAACCCCCATCATCAAGATCCGCCGTTAATGCTTCTTTAGTTTGTTCCATATTAATTTCTTGAGGAGCTATTCGAGGATGGGGTTGTATTGAATAACCTAAACCATCATCTTGAGCGGATAACTCTTCAATATTAATATGAACAGTGGCAATCTCCAGTGGTGTAAAATCACAGTGATCAAGATCAATTGGATCTCGTAAATAGGTATAATAGGCTACGAAATAACTGGTATTTTCTTTAAGGACCACATCAGTTATCACTGTTTTATTACTTTCTCTGTTAACCCAATAAAACTGATATGGTATGTAATCAAGTGGTGATAATGGATCCTTGTCAAAGACAGCAACATAATCGTATTCACCAGGCTGTGCTTCAATGTCCCATTGAATAACTAGGAAGGTCCGATTATGAGGTTTAGTCCATTTTTGTTTCAGCACTTTTAGCTTTGGCTTAGTATGCAATCGTTTTATATTTTTTTGGACACTTGCATCCATTTCTCGAACTTTAGCTTGCAAAACGGAAGGATTGATTTTGGAATTCATTTTGGACACCTTCAGCTGACTCAAGTACAATTGAAACAAATCAATAATTATATACTCGCAAACGAATTTTTAGATAAAGTTGACTTCGGATAATGATGGCAGAGTAATCTCAAATATGGAATAGCATAATATTGGATTCAAACTGATTCAACTTAATTGACTTTTGGTCGTCATTGCAACAGTATACAATGTTCTAGACCTCGTTACCAAGGTGATCCCAATGTGCGCATGAATTTCGTCTTCTAGCTTGTTTGCCGCAGCAGTTGCTTAGCAACAATAGTCAGCTGTCAGTTCAGAATAATGTTTAGGTGATGAATATCTAGTTGTACTAAATTTTGGGATAAAGTCTACGATCTATATAGAAATCGTGTTAAGTTACTATTGATTCGAATTATGGCGACAACTACCACAATCAATCCGTTAGCGAATCCAAAAGGTACCAAGAAATTGTGCGAACTATGCCAAAAGCCGGCTTATATTCAATGCCCGAACTGTAGAGTAACTTATTACTGGTAGGTAAATTTTTTAATTGCTGTCAATATGGTTAAAGTCGTAATTAAAGTACTAGGATAAAGATGAATCGAATGAATAATAATCCTGAACATGACATAAAATCGATTTTAAAAGGATCCAAGTCATTACATTGAATACATATCTATGCATATTTTTTAACGATTTTAAGTCATTAGATGTAAGATATTTCAAAACTATTATTCATTGATTGCTTCATATGTATATTTTCGCGTGGATATCAGTTTAAGATCTATTTTTGTTTACTAAATGATGAGATTTGATGATGATAAAATATTGGACAATGCACGTATGTCTGTAAAGATATGATTGCAAGTATGCAGCTTACATGTATTTGCATCGTTATTAATTATATATAGTGATAGGGAACATCAAAAGCTCGACTGGGACGGAATTCATGCAGAAACCTGCCAGCTACTAATTCCACTACGAACGCCTTTACCATTTTCATCTTCGGCTGACGAAAGAGCACATCGAGAGCGACAGCAATTAAATCGTCAAGTAAAATATTAACTATGTCCTTGATACTAGCATATACAGCTATGCTAAACAATTTTAAAATTAATTAAACTTTCTAAATTGCTAGAGACAAATTATTGAATTAGCAAGAACTCATGGTCAAAAATTACTCTTTGAGAGTAAATATGATTTGGTAGTACCAGCTGCAATGCTGTGCCTAAAATTTTCCATCGGTCTTTATGGTCTTAACAGCATTGAGCTGGTACCATCGTATTTACTGCTAGGAGAGGCAAGCATTGGTAAGATTATATGCTGAATAGTTGTTTTAAATTATCTTGTCATGATTAGATATCAAATACTGCAAGAGTGTATTCATGATATGATAATAATGAAAACTAGGGTTAGGAAGACTCAAGCAAGGAGAAGATTACTTATCACAGGCTCAGTGGACAGTCTTAAAAACTCCAGAATGTCCAAATCAAATTAAATCCAAACTATATCGAAATCTTGGACTATTGCATGCGGCTAAAAAGAATCATTCGGAAGCTTTATTGCAACTTGCTGACGATGTAAGTTTGCAATGCATTCTTAATTTACTATTATACAATTTTAATCCTTTATATTTTCTTGAAGATATATCACTCGTCACTAGTCTATGGTACCGATCATATACATACATCAGGCGGCTATTTTCATATGGCAAATATATTTCTAAAAGAAGGAAGTCCTGAGAAAACGCTCACTTTATATGATCGAGTAAGAGATACAAACATGTATTAGCTATTTAGTAGATTAGATTTATAAATGGCGTCTGTGGTGCACGATAAATGTTATAAGTATAGAAAGAAAAATGATCGGCTATCTTAATAATCTTACTTATTTTTTTCTTTCTATAGGTAGTAACAGTATGGTTTGCTCACCTTTCATTGCTGATAAAAGAACATGAAAAAACAGCAAACTTAGAAGATCCAGCGGCAATTGTAGCTGGTCAAGATGAGCTTTCATTAGGTTGGTTATTCAGGAACATAGTCATTGTTACCATAGTAAGATTATGCGAAAATATCATGATTCATTATAAAACTATACTGTAAGTGGAATTACTCAATTTTTGATACACAGATGTTGCTCAAGAAGCTGAAGCAAAACTAGTTTTGAACACTATCCAAACTGTGGTGCAAGAGAAAATTTTGCATAAGGAGGATCATGAATTAACTATTAAAGTTCATGCCGCTCTGGCTATGTTACATTATATCTTGAACGAGACCTCAAAGGTATAACATTAAAGTATTCATTTTATCATATAGATATATAACACTGAAAGTGTAAAAAATTTATCGTAGGTGATAGAGATGCTTGATGTTATCAAAAAAGTTGTCGATAGGCCATCAAATATCAATTCCAAACTGGTTGAATCTTACCAACAGTTTAGGTTAATTGTTGAAAAACATTTATCATAATGACACAAAATCGTTTGGACTATGTGCGTCAATACTTCACAACTCATATTCCGGGTAAGATCGTCCGAAATTCGCAGTTGTACATTCGATGATGATCGAACTATGCTGAAAGTTACAACCAGATGCCACAAGTTCAATCAAAATTGTCAAAGTTGATTATATTTTGACGGAAAATATGGGTTTAGCCCGATGTAATAATTATCGTTTCGTATAAGTTTGTACTGTAAAAAGGAAATTTAGATGTACAGTACGTCGTTTACGTATCGTAAATGTTCACAATTTATGCAATATTTACTAGTAATTTAGCGCCTTCTGAAACGGTATATTAAATTACTGTAAATATTACGGAAAGCATATGCTTATTCTGTTCTGATAGGCTATACCTCAAATAAAATTGCAAACTTTTCCTTACGAGTTCGTCCAGCAGAGGCATAATATTGTAAGCAAAAGATTGACAGCATTTCAATGTTATCGTTGTATTTCGAAGTTTTATTTAGTTATATTATCATGTACATACACATGCTACTATACAATATATCCAGGTTGTGGTAAGTTTTTTATCAGAGTTAGATTGAGTATTTAAATTGCCCAGGAAAGGTTTAATTTAGTATCCAACACCAATATAAAGTGTTATAAAGACTGATAATCCATGATAATAATGATCATATAAAAAGGGGACATAGAGTACTGTACTAATCAGCAAAGAGACGTTGCTACTATATAAAATGAACTTTTTATTATCATTTCAATAATTCTATTCTTTCAATTTAATAAGCTGTTTAAGATAAATTTTAAATTCTCAATATAGGATATTATAAAGAAAAAACAAATTTTATTCAATATTCTCAGCTATAGGGCATTTCCACGCACTTTCTTCTCGACTTTGCAATGATCTAAGTTTCTTTCCACAAAATAATAACCATGAAATACCAACAAATGTACATAGAATGATTTCGATATAATAGCCATCCCTTATTGTAGTACAATTACCATTAGCTTCTTGGCATGCCTTCATGATGACAACCATTAGAATAAAAGGTCGGTTAAAATTGCACAGTTTTATAAATTAGTTATATGAAATAGATTTCTTTCCTTTTCAGATCATTATAAAGTACTGTAGACTATTTAGCAAATGATTCGCGATATTATGTCATTACATTACCTTTTGCATGGAAGCATTGTCGCATGTTTCAATGGAAGGATTTGAACTTCCTGAGCAGACTGTTTTAGTAATATCGTCTACCAACCACAAAGCTACAGTAGTTGGCCAATTACCAGCCATATTAGTGACTGTATTTAGCAAGGTCATGTATGTGCCACCATACATTGGATCACTAACGCGAGCATGAAATGCCATTTGCGCGACATACATGCAATATAAGGTTATCTGTGTTGTTTCAAGTTACATGTGGTTAGCAATGGCCATGATAAATTTTATAATTTGGAATAATGTTGAACATGAACATTCCATTAATAACAGGTAAAATCAAACCGTAATTATTACGTAAAAAAATCATGTCATGTTCGAAAGAGATAACAAAGAACATCGACGGTATAAAGTATAGATCCGTTTGTATTACCTGATATATTGCGTAAATGCTAACCAATATAGCATAATAATACCAAGGGAATGAATAGTCGCTTCCCTTAGGAACTCGGACAATCCATCCCCAGTAAACAACTAGTGAAATACCGACACCAATAATTAATCGATAGGGCATTGCCTTTAAGAAAACATTCAAAGGTGTAGGCCCAGTAGTATATTTGCTAATAACGAAGGGTAACAAAATTTGCAGCGGTACCAAAGGGATGCCAATTAAGGCTAAAGTTTCGCGATGAATACCAGCTTCAACCAGTTTTAGTGCTGTGATGCCATCCGTTGCAGCAAAACCGACCTATCAGATCAATTAAATAATTAATGGAAAAGACGTGTTATTACTTGTATTGAATTATTTTTTAATCATTAGGATTAGTCAGTCTATCATCCTATGTGTGATCAAGATGATACTCTATTACATCAATTTCGGAGTTTCGACTATAATCGCATTCACGACAGCTGAATAATTATCAATACAATACGGGGATCCTATCTTGGTTCATTTGTTAGGGGATTTTGATACAGAGAAGAAAATGATTATTAAATAAGCTTGGGCATCTAATTGTGTATTTTTTACCTTACAGAACAAAATGATCAAAACGTAAGAAGTGACAGCAGGCAACTTGAGAATTCTGAATAACTGGCTATATGTGTGTGTAATGCCTTTTCGTAATTCCTTCATTTCTATGTCTGCTACGGCTTTCTCATGCTTGAATAAAAAGACCATTGTAGTAGTAATGATAAATATTATCCCCCAGAATAGGAAGAATTGATCGATGCTAACGATACCTTTCTCACTGGGTACGCTTCTTAGATACTTGTTACAAAAATCTTTGGACTCTAAGGCTAAGAATACGACATTGCCAATGAAATAGCCAGCTGTTTGCCCGACAGAATTGCAAGTTGATGCATGGCCAACTTCACCTTTTGATAGTATTGTTAAGGCCCAGCCATCGACAGCAATATCTTGAGTTGCGGCCAGAAAGTTGAGGATAAAAAAGATCAACGTTAACGTTTCAATATCCACCCCCGTGGCATCACTTTGATTCTTTGTGCCTAATAGATAATCAATATTGTAGGATAAGGCAACCATGAATAATCCCAACAAATACTGGATAGGGACTAGCCAAGTTTTTCGTCGACCAATTGCAGTAATATACCACGAATCGACAATAGGTGCCCATAACAACTTGACACTAAAAGGCCAAAACACTAAACTGAAGACAGCTTGTTGTTTATAACCGACATGTTTGCCTTGTAAGAACATCGGAATACTCGCAGCCATGCCTAGAGGGATCCCTTGTAAGGTATAAAGCAATAGTAACAAGGCAATATTTTGGCGATCTTTAGCAGCAATTTGGGCATTCTCTTCACTGGTGTTCACTCTACTAGGGCTTCTTTTCATCTTGAGAGGTGAATTTTTATGATTACTATTATTGTTGACTCTGGAGTATGATTTATTACGCGTCTTCAATGCATGATATTCCGAGACATCTTCCGATGCGATTTCGATGGCTGTATTATCTATATGATTCATTTTATTGATTTATTCTAGTTAATTTGCACAGCAATATTTGTACTTTAATTGGTCAATGCAATCCTGTTTCATCGATATTCAATGGCATTGGCCATTACCATGACAGGTAAATGTTTTTGCCTCTGATCGATTTGCTTATGTTATACAGTAATTGGTTTTGCTGATCGAAATTGAACGTTCGGTCAATCCAGTTGAATTCAGTCCCTTCAAGGATCTACAATTGAATCAGACGAGAAAAATGAGAACAACCATTTCTTCCAAGTAAAGTTGATTGATTCATTTCAATGCATGACAGTGTCCATCTTATGCACGTGCTGACTATTGACGAGGACCCTATCGTCTTGCTTAGCAGTATTTATTGGCATGGGTTAGAATAAATTGAATTTCAATGATCCAATTTCTCTCGTCTTGGACTATATCTCGCTCTCTCATGGCTCAATAACTTTACTCTAGTTCACTGTCTATACGTTCCTATTTCTATTGTGTGCCAGTATAGAAAGTAAAACTTTCACTCTACCACACATATACTGTGCTCTACACTGCACTACAGTATACGAGTGAGTGGTGGAACGGGGTATTTTTATAGACCTCCTCAAAATGAGCCAATGCATATCAATTGGTTACTAGGAAAGAGGAGTTGAATCGATCCACTGACTGTTTCAATACAGTATACTAAGAGGAGATATGTCGATCCATGGCTTATGGGTGGATAGTGGGTGAATAATTTAGTCACTGCCTGATGCAACGTTATGGTGATGATCAACGTTGATTGTTGAATTCAAGCTAATTCAACAGCAAGTTAAACGTTCAATATGTCGTCTTAATACATACTAAAACTCACCTTTTATACCAATTTTACAGATACAAGCCTTCCGTAGTAATTAATGATGGATGTTATTCTTTGCAGACAGTGATTGTTGCATCAAATAGGATGAAGAAAGGAATGGATCTGGTAACCAATTCTAGTTGAGGAAAATCAATCAATTCTGATTAATTATTTCTCTCTGAACTAGGCTATAGTACTGTACTGTACTGTATATCCTGTAGGTGGCTAAAGCGATGCACACTATCGTAAGTAGACTCTACTCTACACTGTCCTCTTGATACATACTAAAACTTACTTTTTTCAAGAATTTGAGAGATGGAAGCCTTCCGTAGTAATTAATGATGGATTTTATTCTTTCTAAACAGTGACTGTTGCATCAAATAGGATCAAGAAAGGATCGATCTGCTAACAAATTCTATTTGATTAATTAATCAATCAATTATGATCATTTCTTTCTGAACTGGGCTATAGTGAATACTGTAGGTGGCTGAGCAAGGGCTTGCAAAGCGACGCACGCTATAGTACTGTACACTGTACATAGTACAATAGGCTAGATTGGGCTGAGCATGAGCAGTGTACGGTGTACTTGTTATGGGCTATTGTGGCCAATTCAGTGCTTACACGTGTGCATTCCACGATAGCTCTTCCACACCATTCCTAAAACCCAATCGCAGTCTATACCCTAATACTGTATGGCATGTTTGGTGATAGTAGCTCCTTTCAGATTGTATGCGTCATCAAAGACATTGAATATTATTATTATATTGTACACTGTACAGTACAATGTTTTAATACTGTTATTCTTCTTTCTACAGTGTACAGTACAGTCCATACAGTACTGTACACTGTACACAGTACACACGGATTGACTTGAGCTGACACGGTAAAGTTTCAATGAGTCTGCGTAGAAGCATTTCCACTCAAATGCATTATGATCATGATGACGTCATGATCCTGTAGGAATTCATCCTGTACACTTATTAGAGACAGTAATGTATTCGCTAATCAGCATGCCAAGATCGCGTTGCAGGCCGCGATCGACTCATCAAAGACATTGAATATTATTATTACTGTACTGTACAATTAAAGACAAACGAGCTTGTATCACCTTCTTTTACATCAAAATATCTGAATAATTAATACGCACGTATATATCGATGTGACAGTGTTATTTACTGTATTAGAGTAGAAATATCAATGTTAGGATAATTCTATTAGTAAAGTGGATTCTTAAACTTAGTGTTCAACGTAAAATACGAGGCGTCTAAGTCTTTGTGTAGTCTGCTAGTAGAGCAAAAGTATTTCTGATAGTGCAGATATCGTTCCTTGATACGTCGTTCAAGGAATTGACTTATTGATCGTACATTACGTTATCTTGTTGCAAAGCTGTTTTGTGACAATCAAATTAGACCAATCATAATATCCAAAAAGGTACATACAGTATATCCTATTGGAAATCATTAAAGAAGCTCAAATGCTCTAGCTTAATGTATTTCCAAAAGCGTTTCGTTTAAACATCTTCTCATGTCTTCAATTTCCTATAGGCGCAAATCATCTCCTCCTGCGAAGAATTTACCGGAATTCTATTAAATTTAATAATATATTAATGTCTCTAGAGACGGTATTTATACGTACACAGTACACAGTAAATGCCATTGAAGGCATTGACATTAGAATAGATGGTCCGGACGTCCATTTTATTCGTATATTGTGAGTTGAACCATTATAGCGTGATTCCTTAATGGATTCAATCGATGGCATTGTCCATATTTTCAACTGTAATTGGTAATAGAGTATCATATTTTAAAATCATCAATGTTATTTGTAGTTTTTATTTACTTTCAGTTCAATGTTAGTAATTTTTAAAATGAAAGGATTACATAGTTATAGAGCCATGAAATGACTTTTAAATTTTTATTAATTCTTTCACAGTACAGCTTCAATTATGTCAATTCGGTATAAACTAATATGTGGGTGTAGAGAATATATATGTTGATATCTTATATGTAAATATTGTATGTTAATCGAAATTTGGTGTAAACTTTTTTATAATTTATGTGGATAATCAATCGAGAAGGAAATTTTACGCACCTTTATATTTCGTCAATAAATAGGACACCTAGTTACGCTAATCATTTGCATGACTTTAGAAGTGATTATACTAGCCGGTAAGAAATTAATAAAATCAAATCGTTTGTAAATTCCGCTCCGAGATAATTGTCACTCCTCGACATCCATCAGTTTTGCTTCCTTTATTGATTAGGGTCATATTATCTAGAAGTATATTCATTGCATCTAAAAGCAATAGATTTATCAGTAGCTAGACCGGAAGTGTGGAGAACGGAATTGCAATTCAATTCATTAAGGTTTTTAATCCAAGTTTTTCAGGATATCAAAACTTTAATCTAGTCCTTTAGTAAGGTAAATTTGAATAGCCAATTATTATTCACTTTTCGTCCAATTAATTAAAATCAAATATCAATGTCTTTCCAATATTCATTCCAATCATTTAAAAATTTTTATGCTTGAAAAGTCACCATGTATCGTCTTATGATGAATAAGTATAGTATTTTGAGGAATACTTCAAGATTAATAATCTATCTTACCGTAACATTTCATTCGTAACAGATCGATTTGTATTACCAAATCATTTCATCCAATTGTATATATCATAATAATATCATGACGAGTCATATTCGTTTCACGCGATAAGTACACAAATTTCATTCGATTACATTTCTAAGAAATTCATTTATACTTTATACTGCCAGATATGCACATAGGAACTTTTTCCTTTTCTCAATGTCAGACACTTAAAATTTCTTTTTGTAATAATGCTATATCATGGTAACGTTTGCTAATATTACCGTTACTTCATAGATACCACAGTGTGTTTCCAAGCTGAAGAAATATACTCATATTGTAGTACTACACAGTATTACGTAATAATTAGTTAGAGTAACCTCTCTGCTATTTATTTGCTTCTGCATATTGGACTCATTTCAGAAGATATCCTATTTTCATTAAATTTTTGTACCTTTTCCCTTCGTTTGCATAAAACAGGTGAAGCGGTAAGATCTATGAAGGTTTTTAATTAAAAAATCACACCATATCCTTGCCATTGATGATAGATATACAGTATGATTAATGTCTTCATTCATCTGCTTTCAATGGTCATTTATCAATCATCATTCACCAGACATTGCATTGCCGTCACTCATTTATCAGTCAATATTTGACAATTACTTAAATAATTTTAGACACTCGGCGTTAGATTCATAAATTTATTAACTTGATTCACGATGAAATTACTAAGATTAATTAAGACTAAGTGAATAACGTTTCATTTAAATTTCTACAACATGGGTAAGTAAATGATGCTGTTAAATGCGGCTATAGGTGTAAATGCATAAATAATTTTCCATGGGCAGTGAACATAAGTGTATCCGCGCAAATTTTAAACATAATATACATCAATGCTTTACTGCAGTAATATATCATAAAGTAGCATGATTTTTAAAATCTTCCGTAGGATATAAAAGATTTTAATATATTTCATATTAATAAAAATATAAGTAATCTTGAGGATTATAACTATTAATTATTTGTCTGGTAACTAATCACGTCCTGAAAATAGATTTTAAAAATATTACTTTCTATACTATTATTAGAAGCAACCAGCTCAATAATCATTTACTTTAGCTATATATAGAGAAGGAAATAAAGTGTTTTGATAAGTTAGTTATACAGTCTGCTAATTGATAGTTAGCGTGAACTTGATATGTAGATAAAAGTTAATATTTGCTTTAACTTAACTTATAAATATAGGGTTAAATATCTATTGAGAAAAGAATGAATATCTTTTAAGCCTGTAATTTAATTACTTAACCAATTTGCACGTAAACATTCGATTTCGAGGAATATTATTACTTTGGTATAGCGCACGATTGGAAAAAATTGCGATAGTTTACTTAGTTTCAAACTATGAGACTTTGTGCAAAATAAAAGACTAGAGAACTACTCAGAAACTATTCATAAATTT